TTCACATCATCACATCATCTGCACAATAACTTCCACCTTTGTAGTTTATGCGGAACTGATAATTACCCAGAAATCATAGAATCACAGAATACAATCACAGAATCACCGAGGTTGAAAAAGACATCCAAGATCATCTCGTCCAACTGTCCTTCTACCACCAGTATTTCCTCACTAAACCATGTTTCTTAGTATAACACCTAAATGTTTCCTGAACACCTCCAGGGACGATGACTCAACTACCTTACTAGGCAACCCATTCCAGCAGAGAAGAAATTTCAGAGAAGAAATTTTTCCTAATATCCAACCTGAACATCCCCTAGCACAACTTGAGGTCATTCCCTCTTATCCTATCACTAGTTACATGGGAAAAGAGGCTGACCCCTACCTCATTACAATCTCCTTTCATGTAGTTATAGAGGGCAATAAGGTCTCCCCTGAGCTACCTCTTCTTCAGACTGAAAAATTCCAGTTCCCTCAGCCACTCCCATAAGATTTGTGCTTCAGACTCTTCAATAGCTTTGTTGCCCTCCAGTACACTCAATGTCTTTCTTACAGTGAGGGGCTCAAAGCTGAACATGGTACTTGAGGTTTGGTCTCATCAGTGCTGAGTACAGCAGAACCATCACCTCCCTGCTCCTGATGGCCACACTATTTCTTAAACAAGCCAGGATGCCACTGGCCTACTTGGCCATGTAGGCATACTGCTGGCTCCGCTTAGCTGAGCATCAGCCAACACCTCCAGATTCATTTCCTCCACACAGTCTTCCAGCTACTCTGCCCCTAAGCCTGTAGCATTGCCAGGGATTGCTGTGGCCAAAATGCAGTACTCAGCATTTGGTCTCGTTGAATTTCATCCCACTGGCCTCAGCCCAGCTATCCAGACTGTCCAGATCCCCCTGAAGAGCCCTTCCTACTCCCAGGCAGATCAACGCTTCCCCCCAACTTGGCGTCATCTGCAAACTTACTGAGGGTGCACTCAATTCCCTCACCCAGCTCATCAAAATGACATTAAACAAGACAAGCCCCAGTATCAACACCTGGGAAACACCACTCATGCCCAGACACCAGCTGGTTTTAACTCCATTCACCATCACTCTGTGGGCCCGGCCATACAGCCAGTTCTTTACCCAGCAAACAGTGTACCTGTCTAAGCCATGGGCTGCCAGCTGTCTTCTGCAAGGAGAATACTGTGGGAGACTGTGTCAAAGGCTTTGCTGAATTACAGGTAGACTACATTAACAGCCTTTTCTTCATCTACCGGATGGGTCACTTGATTAAAGAAGGAGATCAGATCAATTTCGTGAGGTCTGTGGCATGAAAAGTATTCATGCTGTTGCAGGTAATTGACCAACTAGACCACAATCTCTGATGCACAGCTACTAAATGCACTTTATTTTACACTGGAATTGAGACATGTAACATTTTATAATTAAGTACATGATTTGCATTCTCAAAGATGACCTGAAGCAAAGGCTTGTGTAAAGTAGTGTAAACTACAAAAAGTAGTGGCAATAGACACAATGGTGCAATCAGTTTTGGTACCGTAATATCTGGGATAGGTTCTACAAAGGGATCATGATAGACTGGATCAAAGGACCATGTCCAATTGTTTGATGTTCAGCAAGGTTCAGTACCGGACACTGCACTTGGGCTGTAACAACTCCATGCCCTGGTATGGGATTGGGGAAGAGCAGCTGGAAAGCTGCTCAGCAGAAAAGGACCTGGTGGTGCTGGTCAACAGCCATCCGAACGTGAGCTAGAAGTGTGCCCAAGAGGCCAAGACAACCAACAGCATCCTGGCCTGCATCAGAAATAGTGCAGCCAGCAGGGTTGGGAAGTGATTGTCCTCTTGTACATAGCACTGGTGACAGCTCTTCCACTGAAGCTGCGGGGGAAAAACACATGCTGCCAAGTCAGCTGCATTCCTCTTCAAACAGATTGAAGAGAATTAACCTGACTCCATGCAGGTGTCCACAAGTTAGATGAAAAGAACTCCAACCCAAGGGGCTATCAGCTACATCCTCACTGTGCAGGGCATCTGTAGTCCTGGAGCTCACGCAACAAAAGCACTACTTTGTGTCTGACTGCTTCACTACAAAACCACTATCACAGTGCTATCGCCTCAGGGCCAGTGAGCTACAAGCTCCATTTTCAAACACATCTATTGACTGCCAGCCCTGTCTGCAGCAGCAGATATCCTGAATCTCAAGGGCAGTGATGAAGGAATACAGGCCTGTAAGTTATCTACAAAATAGATTGCCTTGTAAAAATAGTTTCTTTAAGAGTTTTGAAAAATGGTATGAAAAGATCAATATGAAAGAAAAATTAAAGCAGAAGTTTTGTAGAAGTATTTTTAGAAGCTAGGTAAAAAGGGGAAACATACCATATTAAGTGGAAAAAAAGGCGTTCTTAAATATTCTGAAATAAAGCAAGGACTTTCAAATTTAATTACCAATATAAAAATAAATTGATAACCATCACAGATATTTAGTATCGCACACGTCAGATTAGAGTCAAATGTGACACTTTTTATAGCTCATACAGAATTTTCTGTTCTCAGCCATATCGGCCTTTTAATTTCATTTAGTACTGGTGGCTGAAATTTTGGATATTATAGTTTTTGCTATACAAGCGCATCCGTAACCACAGGTTCCAGACAAGAGAGAGGAAAACAGTAATGATGGAACCAAGTAGTAACTTGAAAGTGCTTATCATCAGTGGGAAGATGCCTCTTCTGGCTGTGCAGCATGGCGCAGGTCTGTTGGAGAAATGCACTCTGACAGAACTAACTCCAGATGGTGTCTTATGCTTCTCTGTGCTCTGTTAGAAAAGCAGTGCTCACAGTTGTGGTCAGGAACATCAGCTCATGGACTTTGTGCAGTGACTCTCCCTGATGACTCTTGTGGAGCTGTGCCAGCAGCTCATGCTCTCAAGCATCGACTTCCACTGTCTGTGCAACCTTCATCCAAGCAGATCTCACTTCTTCATCCGTTTGGCCTAGAAGACTTACTGACGTGCTGGGCAGTTGTACAGCTCAGACATGGAAGGCAGGATTGACAGAGGTCAGTGTCACTTTCCAGCAAGACAGTATTTTTATCCTAACTTGCTGAAATAACTCATTTGCTGATAAAACTAGGAATGCGTTTAAAGAAAAGATACTCTTAGAGATTTTGACTGCATTGATTTTTCACCTTGTCCTGTTTCCTTCGCTTACATCAGGGGAAAACAAATCCATTTTCTATGTGAATGTAATGCTGCTCATTAATGAGGCTTCTTGCTCCAGGAAATTTGATCTTTGTTCTCCTGGAAGCGCTCTCCGTTCTTTCCTCTATTCGTTCTTACACAACAGAGCATTAGTCTTATCTGACAAAGGAAATTGCACTGTGATGTCTTTTCATAAGCATTACTTTTCTTACCACTAAATGATCACTAGAGAGGAGTTACATTGCAGCAGTTTGGATTGCTATGTGCAGAATGCTTTTAATTTAGGAAGGATATTCAATTTTACAAGACAGTTACCCGGTTCTTGGATGTATGAGATGCTGCTGGAGAAATACAGGTTCGTGAGCTGCCCAGAGGAGAGTGGGTACCCCAACCCTGGAGATGCTCAGAGCCAGGATGGATGAGGCCTGGGCAGCCTGACCCAGCGGGAGGTGTTCCTGCCCACCACAGAGGGGTTGGAACTGGATGATCTTTAAGGTCCCTTCCAACCCAAAACATTCTCTGATTCCAGGAAGGAGCCCAGCAATCAAGGAGTTCTACAGAAGAACTGGGAACTGTTGGAGAGGGGCCAGAGGAGGGCCACAAGGATGATCAGAGGGCTGCAGAACCCTCCCTGTGAAGACAGGCTGAAGAAGCTGATCAACCTGGAGAAGGCTGCAGGGAGACCTCACTGCAGCATTTAAAAAGCAGTATTTAAAAAGGGATTATAAGCAGGAAGGGAATCAACTTTTTACTTGGGTAGATAGTGATAGGATGAGGGAATGGTTTTAAGTTGAAGGAGGGAAGATTTAGGTTGGATGTCAGGGGGAAGATCTTTACTATGAGAGTGGTGAGATGCTGGCACAGGCTGCCCAGAGAAGCTGTGGATGCCCCATCCCTGGAGGTGTTCAAAGCCAGGTTGGATGGGGCCATGGGCAGCCTGGTCTAGTACTAGATCCAAACGTTGGTGGCCCTGCCTGTGGCAGAAGGCTTGGAGATTCATGATCCTTGAGGATCCTTCCAACCCGGCCATTCTGCACACGTTTTTCTTCTGCCTTTTTCACTGCCTGTTCCCACATCTCTGTTTCAAAGCATTTTATTACTGACTGTTCGTGGGCAAATTTTAAGTACCAATAGTTTGTACGGATGGAGCCGCTGGCAGTGGGCAGATCAAAAGGCATGCTTACGTTTATCACCTGTTGACAGAGGTTTTATCTTCTCACTCACAGCACCATGGTTTTACCACAGGTGGAAAGCCTCGAGGAGACATTTAAGCACAAATCACATGTGTGCACGAACCTTGCATGGCTTTGTTGGCTTTGTTTCCCTTCCAACACTGTATTTCTGGATAAGGTAATCTATTGGTAAACCCCGAGTGCCTCATCGCTCCGATTTACAGGGCACCCCGGGGACACCTCGGCCCCTTCACCACCCCACACGACACCGCCGCAGCCGGAGCCGGGAGGCACACGGCACCCCGCCCGCCATGCCCCGCCCTCGCGGCGGATTGCCCCCGCCCACGAGCAAAGGGGGAGGCGTGGCCTCTCGCCGCCGCCGCTCCCGCCCCTCCCATTGGCGGCGACGCGGCGCGTGACCGGGCGGTGCGTGACGTAGGAGGAAGAAGACGCCATTAGAGGCAGCGGGGCCGCTTGCTGCGGGAAGGTGTTTGTGGTTGTGTCTGTCTGTCGTCCCCGCGGCGCCTCCTCCCGCCTGTTCCTTGCGCTCCTCCTCCCTGCGGGCGGCGGCGCCCCGCGGCCGCAGAGCGGGGCGGTGGATGTGAGACGGCCCCGGCGGGCGGCGGGACGCGGATGGCGGCGGGGACCGGCGCGGCGGCCGGTGGTCGCAGCTTCTCCTTCAAGGTGGTGCTTCTCGGGGAGGGCTGCGTGGGGAAAACCTCCCTGGTGCTGCGCTACTGCGAGAACAAGTTCAACGACAAGCACATCACCACGCTGCAGGTGCGGGCCGGGCGGGAGGCAGCGCGGGGCTGGGGGGGAGGGGGGGAAGGCGGCGCGGCTGTCCCTCCCCTGAGGGGAGATGCTGGGGGCTGCTGTTGAGCTTCTTCTCTTCGGCCGTAGCGGAAGGCGGTGCTTCGGGGTCTCGCTTTCCGTCTGGTGGCTCTCGCCTAAGCGTGTTAGTGCATATGTTCCTTCGAGTCTTGGGATGCGGAAGCGCGGCTTTAAAGTAGCGTGGCTGTTGTTGTGATCGTCGGCGGTAGGCTGGTGACTGAGTGCTACGTGTGTGCTGCGTTTCTGGTAATGACAGCCTTCCTCTGCTTGGCAGACGCGGTGCCTGAGTTACCTCAGTGCCAGCAGACAAGCGGGTCTCATCATAAGTGAGATTAAGGCTTATGATTTAATAACTGACAAGATTCACGAGGCCCTCATGTAATCTCCCTGAATTTTAGCCCGAGTTATTGCCGAACTTGCAAACATCTGAACAGCAAAATCACACTGGTGAAAGCGTGATGGGTGCCCACTGGAAAGCAGTGCTTGTCGCTGCCTGCCAGTGCTGAGCAGTCTGCATCCCACACAGCAAAATGCACATGTGTTCTATGTGGCCTTGGAAAATGTGTTTTGAGTTTCATGTTGTGGATTGTACAATCGGCACGTGTCTGTTGAGCCCTCTCTGCATGCTTAGCCTCTTCATTTGCAGCTGTGTGGCATCTTTTCTACCCATCATGGGCATGTATGTGATTTTAGCACTGCAGTGTATGCTGTGCTCGCTATGTTTTCTTGTAAATAAAGAAACAAACCTTGCCACCAAGTGGGTTCTGAACCGCTTTTGAAGTCCTGTGAAATACAGGATAAATGGTGGTGCCTCGGGGTAGCTGTATGCTATTCATGCACATCTTGGGGGAGATTCTAGCAGGCTGGATATCTTGGAGTGTGTAATCCTGAAACTTCATAAAGAAAGGACGTGTTAGAGGCGCATTGGAAACAGTATGCTTAATATTTCATTGACAGGTACTGTTGCTCCGTATTTATTTTAGATAACTGAAAATATTTTGCAGTTCATTTGCCTGTGCTCATACATGGGCTGTTAGATGTAGCTATTAGTAGGTCTACTGAGTGTGATGCATGGCGAGCTAATGGTAGATCTGATTGCTACGGAGGCACACTACAGAAGCAATCAGCAGTTGGTAGATGTCAGAGCTGCAGTTGTAACTTCTGTTGCTGTACCACCAGAAGTGTAGTGTTGAGCAAACGTGTTCAGAAGTGTGCTGCAGTGATTGTGTATAGCTGAATTCTGATATCCTGTGTAAAAAGAATAGCCTGTCATGTGATATAGCTCTGGTTTTGTTGTCTCTTAAAATCTGCAGCGGAAAGCCTAAAATTAGAAACCAAAAGTGAGCTGGGTCACAGGCATCATAAAATGGAAATATAAATGGCCCCAAAACACTGACAGTAAAATGTCTGTCTAGATGCTACAGCCCAGAGCTTTTGCTTGAGGCTGCCTGTGGGGAATGGAAGTTCCTTGTAAAGGAAGGGGAGCACATGCTCACATGTGATATTGAAGTTCTGTCCCTCTGCTGTGATTAGGTTTCTAGTTGCTCTCTGTATATTTTAACTAGTTGCAGTGTATCTTAACTCACCCTGCTTACTTTTGTTCTGAACCTCCTTAGTTCTGTGTGTCTTATTGATAAATGCAGTGTCAGTTGTTGAATCTTACTGTATGTGCTGTGCGCTTGTGAATCATCATTCTTGTTTTTCTACATCTTGCAGTTGTAGAAGAATGGCAGTGGGAGGAGTTACCAAACCTAATGAAAACATTCATTTAAAAAAAAAAAAAAAAAGAGAGGCTAACAAAACAGTGACATTTTTGTAAGAATTTTTTAAGGGCTTAATTTGATAAAGTGACTTTGCTTTGTGGCATCAGTTCAAAGTATTGAAGCAAATAGGTTTCTGTTCCAACTAAGCCAAAATTAGATAAATATTGGATTCCTATTCGGCAAAGGAGCCACAGTGATGAGCCATATAGAAACAAATTACTGGTCAGTGGGAAGAGGGCCTCGCAATCCACTGTAATCTGATTTAGCAGGGAGTGCTGAGGTAGAGGTGCTGTTGTACTTCATGCCAACCTTTTTGCAGCAAAAACATGGTGAGACTACAACTTTCTGAAGTACTGTAGGTTGGGTTGCCCCCAGTTGGCTGGGGCTTCCTGCAGTGGGGCCTCAGTGATTTGAGAGAGCACAGGAAGACCTTCGGTTGGTCAGCGTGAGTCTTCTAGCACTGTGCAAGTCTGTACTTTCCAGTATCCTGTTGTGAAGGTGGGTGATGTACTAGCAGTGGGGAAAGTCACCTATTTGTAGGTAACAGAATGCTTTATTGAAAGGGAGGGAGCTCTCTCTCTCTCTCTCTCTCTCCTCCTGCTCTTTTTCCATCTGCTGGTTAGAAGGGAATAGTAAACTGGGACTTGCTTCTATCAAGATTAGGAGGCTGCAGGGCATGTTACTGGAGTTCTGTTAGCTTGGAGTCATTTACATCAGATACCAGTGATATGCAGATTGAAATTAAGGCAGCCTTTGATCTGCTGAAGGAAAATGTAGGAAAGGTAGCCTTGTTTTTTTTGCGGCTTTTCTTTCTTGACAATGATGACAAACCATAACCTTCTGTTAGAACTGGTTGGAATTGGTTCCCATTGATCAAAATATGGAGGTCAGTATTTTCTTAAAAGGATTCTAAGCTGTAAGATGAAACCAAGTGAAATATGCTGGTAATATTCTGGTAATAAAACCTTTATCTTTTTTTAAAATGTGGGTGGGTACTGTCTGTTAATTACTCAGGATAAATACAGCTTTGGTGTACTAAGCCACTGACACGATGGTGCTAGTGGTATGTACTGATCCTCAGTGCTTCGGACTCATGTAACCAGGAAAAGTTGTCTTGCATGTATAAGACAGCTTAGAAAAAGCAGTACAAGGAAGTCCAGGGCTGCAGGTAGTGTTTGTATGCTTGGTATAAAGCAGTTAAGGGGTAGATGATGTAAACCTGCTATATTCTAGAGACTTTCAAGTGTATCTTTTCCAGCTGAGTCTTCCTTGTGTTCTTGTCAGGTCCCTTTGTCAGCTCCCAGCATGGCATCACGCACATGTGGAACTGAGCTCTTAAAACAGAATTAAAAGAACAAAGTTTTTCTAGGAGCGCATAAAGAGACTGATATTTTAGTGCTCATAATTGCATTATTCTTTCCTTCTAAGCATATGAGCGTTCTTCACACTAGGCATAAGGCACTTGAGTCAAAACACCAAGGTTAGTTTACTTTAAAGAGCTGCCTGAGATTACTTATCTTGGAGTAAACTATAGTTCCATACACTTGTTTTTTGGAAGTCAGAGCTAAAATGAATTGCCATAATAATGAAAAGAATGTGGAAAGGAGTCGCTGATTATAAATTAAGTCATGACTGACACTTAACTCCCTATTACTCAGTCGGGTAAATTCTCAGGGGATGAGAACACATGTTGATCCTCTTCAATGTGCAGTCATATAATGCTGTCTGCATGGCATTGCTTCCAAAGGCTTCCGCACTCTTGGTAGCTGATGCTTTCCCTCACCTCAGAGCTCGGTTGGACAGGAGAACTCGCAGTCAGTAGTGAAGATTCTCTTTACTTATTGGACTCCCCAAATTTCTAAAAAGTTAAGTCCTGCTGCTCCTTTGATCTTTAGCTTTTTGATCTCTAATTTCAGAATGGATGGAGAGCAATAACCTTGCTCTTCCATGAGACCAATGGAAACTGGTGTGGGTATAACTATAGAATGTCAAATATTAGCTGTTTTGTCTTTGGAGTGTATGGCTCTGTAGCTTTTAAAATACACTTAACTGATGCTAATTATGCCAGACTTACCTATAGCTTTTAATTTAAGAATAGGACCTGCAAACAGTATTCTTCAAGTATATAAATATATTGGAGGAATGAGGCATTTAAAGTGTAATATAGTATTGACTGTTTCTCACAGCATTCGGCTCATTATTAGCTATGACTATCAGCCTTGTTAACAAGCAAGTTTATATATAAACTTCATTTTAATCAGGATATCTGATATAGACTATCATCACTTTGCTTAGGAATCTAGGATTTGATTGGACTGTAACCTAAAACAGTACAAATTCATCAAGTTTTGATGTGGAGTGCAAATACAGTAGTCAATCCTAAATGCCCTTGCTGCTGACTCATGTCACTTCTTGCAGGAAACACTAAAAGACTTGTCTGGGAGTATTGGCCTTCTAATGTTTGGATCTATAGAAAAGGAAATGCTCTATTTTCAGTGCTAAAAGATAATGTTTAATCCAAAACTATGGTGACCTGTGGGATGTGTTACTATAAAACAAAACAGGAAAAAGAAACCACAATGCCTTATCTGTGAGATGAAAACCTATTTTAATATCAAACCTATTTGATATGTCAGGCAACTAAACAGCACAGCTATCCTTACTGGGTCAATGTTCAAAGCCATGATGACTTAACCTCATGAATATTGTTGGTTTTTTTTTTTTGTGGTTTTTAATGCAAATCCTTTTTCAGTGAAGATTTTTTTTTTTCCAGAGGTCCATAAATGTGGTTCTAGAGTGTTTTTTTTTTTTTTTTTTGCCAGTCTTGCATCAACTGGGCAGAGTTGAGCTTTATTACAGTGATCAAAGCAAACAGTGCTCTGAACAGCTTTTCCTCTGAGATGTACAGTAGAATATCAAATGTTTTAGTGCAGTGGATCAATAAAATGTTGGCAGGTAAGCTCGATTCAGTATGGCTAGCTCATAACTTTTCTTAATATGATCCAGGTGTTGGTCTATTAAAATGTCTGAGCTTACAACTTTTAAACTGATGCTGTGGAACAAATTATGAGACTAGACACTGATTTTATGATCCTTAGGAACAGATGAGTGAAAGCTGCAAAAGAACTTCTGCACAACTTGCCCTGATGTTTAAGACTTGCAGCTCTGCTGTCAAGCTCTTTGTTACAAGTAGACCAGTGTTTTAAATACTTCAAACTTGCTCTCTGGAACTCTTCCTGAAGTTGATTTCCACCACCATTCTGTAGACTGAAGGGGTTTTAAACCCTAGGTGTGTTCAACACGATGGTCAAGATTAGTTCCTTTCTGCCTGCGCTTGGAAAGTCTCAGGGTGTTTTTCTTTCCTGTGTTCTGTCTTTCTGGATCTGCTCCACTTTTTTCCCAGACTTTGTGGGAACTTTGCAGGGAGGGTATGGCTTCTTTTAAAACGCAGAGGGAAATTACTGACTCATCTTCAGTCATACACGTGCCAGAGTTGATGCTAGATTAGTTTAACACAGGAAGGACTCGAGGAAGATACTTTTAACAGCAGTTTATGCTGGTGTAAATTAAGCAGCAAACTGGTTCATGCAGCTGACCTGGCCGATGATGTTTTCCCTTTCTACATACACATGATTTTTAGTCAGCTCAGTGCCTGATTAGAGCTCTTACACAGAGGGATTGTGCTGAGAAGCTACAGGCCAGCCTAAAATGATCTAAGATGAGTGTTTATTCACTCAGTACTTGATATCCAAACGTATGCTGAGGTGAAACTGAATGGGAACCGGGTAAACTTGGGAAACAAACTGAAGTTAATCTTGGCAATTGAATTGTCTGTTATTAACCTGTTGCTGTTGATCTTCAGGATGGAGCTACAGGTTCTTAATGCATTGACTGCTTTAAAGCCTGTTCTATCTATTGAACTAATATCAATTTTTAATACTTTTTGGCTGGTGAATTATCTAATGGGTAGCAGAAGGATAACATTTGAAAATTGCATCATGCAGGCTCTGAGAGCAGACATCTTCCTGAGTTACAGAAATCAGGCTAAACTTGCAGTATGCACTAGTCATGTCAAATGTTTTCAGAAGACAGTGTAGTAGAATATGTAGAGCAACATGTGTGCTGCTTCTGAAACTTTTCACCCTACCACTGGCTTTCTTTTTGTGTGTGTACTGCTTCTCCTCCTTCCTCTGGTTCTGTTATTACTTGAGAAACATTAACACGAGGCTTTCAGGAATGGTATCTGAATGAGTATTGAGGGAAGGAATAAAATGAAGAGAGCTGTGAGCTCATTTCAGCAGGGGAAAAAAATGCAGATGAAGGAACTTCTTGCAAAATACTAATGTTTTGAGAATTCTAGCTCTAAACTTGAATTATTTTTACTGTTTCACTAGTATTAAACTGTTGTGCTAATGCCTGCAGCCTTAAAATCCCAGTAGCTTTGCTTACTCTTGTGAAGTGTTTCAAGTTCATCTTAGGCTTATCCTTATTCAGAACTCAACCTTCTTATCTCTCCTAAATCATTCAAAGCAACAGCAAAAGATGTAGGAAACAACTTGCTTAAGGCAAATTTATTTAGAACAGACTTCTGGCAAACTGTATTGAAATGACTAACCAGCTTAGTATTGACCCAGCCTTCTGGCTCAGGGAGTATTTAGATTCAGAAATCTGTCTTCTGTTGATTCAGATATTTTCATTAGTAAATAAACCTGAAGTCAGACAGACATGTTTGTGTGAAAACTTAACTCTGTTTTTCTTTCCAGGCATCCTTTCTTACAAAGAAGCTGAATATTGGTGGGAAAAGAGTAAACCTTGCAATATGGGTATGTTTGCTTTCCTAACTGTCCTCCCCACTATGCTCTCCCTCCCTAGATAAGTTATTTTTCAGGAAAATAATCTGTTTGATTGAACTCAAATGTTAGGCACTTCATAATAAAGTAGGAGTTAGAAGTCATTGGGATCTCTCAAAGTTACAGTGTTACATACTAAAGTGGTTTTTTTTAAATGCAGGATACAGCTGGACAAGAAAGATTTCATGCACTGGGGCCGATCTACTACAGAGACTCTAATGGTGCTATTCTAGTGTATGATATAACAGACGAGGACTCTTTTCAGAAGGTACCAAACAGATTTTTACCTCTGTGCAAAGTCTGTCCTGATTGGAAGGGAATCTATGATATGAGTGCGCTCATGGGGAATCTTCTGTTTTAGGGATAGCACCTATGCTTAATTTGCCTGAATAATAGGATTAATACCTGATCATGTCATTTGCAGATAATATTACGTCTGTAGAATCAGGTCATGTAATTTAAGTGTGCACCTTTATTTATTTATTTTTTTTGAAGCCCACTCTTAATAAAGATCTAGTGGAGTTATTCAAAGAACACCAGAGAATTAATGTGTGACAGACTATGACTATGAAATAGAAGTACTTTTGTGATAATGTACTGTACTCTACTGCATAAATCAAATTGCTCAAATATATTAAGTGATGCTAAGCTTCAGATTATGAACACTCGAAATCACAATACACAGCAGCAAGAACGTTGCATTCTTGATGATAATAGATATTTGAACTTCCTAGTCTTCATTTAACCTGAAATTTGATCATTAACTACTTTAAAGTATTAGTTGATCAGGTTGAAACAGGTGAGTTTTTGTCCAATCTTGTGTCACGCTGTTGCTCCATAGGATGCCCCAGCTGAAAACTGATATGCTTTCCTGAGGAGTCTGCTCCTGATGAGTTTGTGGCAAGAACAGTAGGACTTCCCTCTAGAGGAGTAGGAAATGTTTTGTCAGTCTCTGTTGCTCTGAACTTAGACTTAAGCAGTTAAAGAAGGATGTGGGCCATTTCCACAATGCCTAAACTGGCAGGGTGTCATGAGAAATCAAACTTATATCTGTTCTTTATGCAGGTAAAAAACTGGGTTAAGGAATTAAGAAAAATGCTGGGCAATGAAATCTGTTTATGTATAGTAGGTAAGTACTCTCTAACATGTGATTCTAGTGACTGAATTGGAAATGTTTCTTTTGATATTATCTTCTAAACACTACTGTAACAGCTTGTGCATATGAAGGGATAAATCTTAAGTGAATTTGGCAATTAAAAACTCATTTGGAGCTAGAAGTTTCAAGGGATTGCAATAGGAGGAAATGAGAGTTAATTTGGGAAAAGCTTAGTGATGCACTATGGCTGAAGCGCATGGTTAAGACAAGTTGCAAAATTCGTAGTTGAATGAAGAAAGATATATCAAATGTGTCAGATCCTTCTGGCAAGTACCTTGACTCCTTGTTTTTTCCTTTATGACCTATTTGCAGTGGCATAGACTCAGTATTTGTCTGCTTTCAAAATTAAGTGCTTAGGTGTGGGGATAAGACTAAAACTTGGATATTTCAATGAATTTTTACAAATGCATGTAAATACTAAAATTTAATCATTAGATCTGATTTAAACACTTTCAGGAGGATAGGTATGTGGATATTCTATGAAAACAATGTTCTGCAGCACAGATTTTTGCCTACTAAAAGCCATTGCTTTTCTTTTTTAACTAATCAAGGTACTCAGCTATCTTAATCAGGCTGCAGAAGCTCATGGTTTCTAAATGTTTGACTGAAAGGGGTCTTCTAAATGATGTTGTTGTGGTCTGAATAGACTTGAGTAAGAATCTGTTTTTATTGAAGCAACTTGTAGGAGGGGAAAAAAAGATGAGGTACAGTGATTGTAACTTTTGTTAACTTAGGAATATGAAGATGTGAAATATTAACTTGTTCTCAACAGGTAACAAAATAGACTTGGAAAAAGAGAGACATGTTTCAGTGCAAGAAGCAGAAACGTAAGTCACACTAATTATTAATAGAAGCAGTCATTGCAGAATTATGTTGGAGTAATAAATTTGTGATGCTTCTAACAACTGGCAAGCATAACTAGCTGTGGCTGGCTGGCTTCTACAGAGTGTTCTGTTACTATCTTAATTTTGGAGTGTTCTTAATGATCAAAGTGTAACTTTAGTTTTACATCGTTTCTGACAGAAGTCAACATCTCTATCTCATGTCATGTCTAGAAATGAACTTAAGCTAATATTTTTTTTAATGGCTGAATTTTAACCACAGTTCCCTTTGTTAAATCAGCATGCGTGAATTAAGAGTTAAGAATAGAAAGCTCTCCTCTTTCCACTTCATGTAAAGTGGCTTAGAAAGACTGAGTTCTTCAACGCAACTTACTCTTCTGCATCTGCATTCTTACAGGTATGCTGAATCTGTTGGAGCAAAACATTATCATACATCAGCTAAGCAGAATAAAGGAATTGAAGAGCTGTTTCTTGACCTTTGTAAAAGTAGGTACTATCTAATTTGTTCATGAGGAGCTTAGACACAGAGTTTTCAAATCCTATTAAAAAAGAAAAACAACCCTTGGTTTAAATAATTGAGAAGAACTGTTCTTCTGAGTGTACTTCAGTCCTCTTCTGTATTGGATCAGCTATGTGAACTTGATGTGTGGATGGAAACTCATGCTGTACTTCAAGAACATCTTTCTTGCTCTGTTGGAGTCCTGAGCATTCTGTTCACTCAAAATGCTTTAAGTAACTTCAGATCAAGCTTAGTGTGATTGCTCTCACTGCTGTCTACTTCATACTCTGTTTCAACATATCTCAAATATATTGTCAGATGATGTCAATTACAGTTCATAAACTTGAAACTGTACAGATGAAGCAGATGATAAAGAATACTGAATCCAGGATAAAACACCACACAAGGAAGCTATCCTGTTTGTAGCATTCTTATAGCAGGACTTCACCTCCATGGTTGTGTGTGTGGTTCTAGTTGACCAAATGTTTCTAATATGATTGGGTAAATCTAGCTTTTGAAGGTCAACAACTCCAGAACATCAGAGCATTTAAGTCAACAGGAATTTCTGTATTATTCTGTATAGTTCTGTTTTATGCTCTAGCAAAAAGACTTAAGATTTTCTCTCGACTACACCTTGAGATTCCAGAGTGTTTCCTTGTGCATAGTTGAGCGAATCGGTCTTGCTGAACTTTGTGCACGTAACTCAGATAGATTAAGATCTTAAGGTCTTATGTCATAATAGAATGGAATGCTAATACATTTCATCTAATAAACTATATTTGCAGGAATGATAGAAACTGCTCAAGTGGATGAAAGAGCAAGAGGCAATGGATCCAGTCAGTCAGGAACAGCGAGGCGAGGTGTACAGATCATTGATGATGAACCACAAGTACAGAGCAGCGGAGGGTGCTGTTCTTCTGGATAGTGACAAAACTGTGCATCACTGCCCTCTCAATATGAAGACTGCCATATTCCAAGTCACATGTTCTTTACCAATGGAGTAATAGAGTTAACAGTATTTAAAAATAATCACATTTAACACTGCAGAGACCTTAAGTGCTAAACTAGTGGCGCCTGTGACCAGAGAATTGGCATTTTCTACAGTGGTTAACAAAGCAATTACCAATGGCCTTTTTACATATTTTTCTTTAATGAGGAATAATATGCATGTAGAAAAGACCTACTTAAAGGCTTCATTTATATTCTTTTAAATCAGATCATTATTTAATAACTTATATATGTTGTTGTTGGAATGGTATACATTTTTGCAGCTCTTTGTATTTTGTGCTAGATTGAATTGTATCACTTCTAAAATGCACATTGATTTTTTTTTTTTTTTTAAATTAGCAGATATATGAAGTAATATTTTTGCAGGGCCTCCACAAACCTGTAACTGTCAACTACTTTGATATATTCTGTTCATCCTGTATGCCAAGCTGGTAAAATACATTGTAAATTACCTATTAAATATTTTATCTGCTTTTACAAGTGCAGGTGCAGAAATATGTACATCAGTCTTGTCAGTGATTGTGAAGTGAATAAGTCAGTGAAAAGATGCAAGCTTTTCATGTGTACCGTTGAACTGTTGATTCTATTTCCCCTTCCTGAAAATTGAAAACAGCTTTTTTTTTTTTTTTTGTTGTGAACTCATAGCTACGGTATTTTTTTTTTTTTTAAGCTTTTTTTTTCCTGGCAAGCAGCAGTATTTAGAGTACCCCATTAGTAGGAAGGGAATGCTTCCTTAGCCTGCTGTTAAACGTTGAGGCATTTGACTTCCAGCTGAAACAGTTGGAGTGTGCATTTATTTTGCCTCTCAGAATATCACTAGAAAACTGGAGCAAATTTAGCCCTTGTCTATCTGGTAGCCACCTAAACCAGTTGCATGGGGAAACTCTTAATCTGCATTAATACATTTATGCACCAAGACAGCATTATTTAAAAAAAAAAAAAAAATTGAGCATAAGTTTTTCTTGTGTTTCAAGGTTTGTGTGGGAAAAATGAATTGGCATTAATTAGAACTGCTTCTGACTTGGAGTCATTATGTAGAAGGTAAGAAACTTGCCAGACACAATTGTAAATTTGGGAATACTAGACAAAACTGAACTTACTCTTGACTTGCTCTTTTACTTGTAATGCTTTTTGAAGCCCACTTAAAGTTCTGGGAGGAGGGATTTCAGAAATAGTGTATAAATTACTATCACAGAAAGATCACAAATGGCGGTAGTTAAAACTTCAAAGTGTTTTGTGCTCTGGATTTTTTACTTAAGTTGTCTTGCTTGGAAAAACAGTAAAGGTGATGTCTATGACAAAATAGAGTATTTCTTGGCCTTCCTTTTTCTGAAGGGTAGTATTAGTATTGCATATAAATGCACTGAATGGTGTGTGTTACAGTGCACAACAGGAGTAGTACTTACTAATCAGTCTGACATGTAAGAAATGCCTTCATCTGGTATCTATTTTCTCTGAAATAATAGATGGCTTTGCTACAGACTGGTCCTGATGCTTTTATTTCCTTTCTGCTTAAACTGGTTTATAAACTCTCTCTGAAGTTAACATTGGTGTGCTCTGCCCATCATGCATGCAACTATGTTAAAAAAAAAAAAAAGGGTGTTTTCCTCGCTGGTGAAGACAATACTACATGACTGCACAGAGCCTTGCTCTGATTCTAAAATTCATGACTGTGTCAATATAGCAACACTTAAGTAAACACTCCAATATTACATCCAACTTAAGTGAGGCTTGCCAAAAATTAAAAACAGGTCAGTTTTTGGAGGCAATTTTTAAAATACATTCACTAGACAAGTCAGTCATGTAGGTGATACAATATTAGGAGAAGTGAAGTTGAGCCCCTGTGTTCATGATAAGAATCAGTATTAGGCTTGGTAAGTTCTCCAGAGCTATCTGCTTCCTTAGCTGTTCCAGAGCGTGTCTTCCCATCAGAGCAGAGCATTCTCTGCTTTGTGGATAGCTGCAGCAACATGAACTTGGGTAAACACTGCATGAATTTGACCACAGTGAAGCAGTCTGCAGACATGTTACTGAGCTGCATGCAAAAAAAAAAAAAAAAAAAAAAAGTATTCTGTAGTAGGGATGTTGTGTGACTTCTGTTAAATACAAAACTAACAAAGTCATGTTGATGTGAAGTCTTAATTCACTTGCAAAACTAAAGCAATTAACTACTGAAAACTTGGGAGAGGGTAAGAAAGCTGGGTTTTTGTACTTAAAAATAAACAAAACATTTGGCTGCTATTAACAAAATATTAACTTTAAAAGGAATTCTTAGAAGTTAGTGCTCGTAAGGCCAATGAAATTACAATGTGACAAAGCCTGACTGGGAGCTTTGCTGTTTAAGCTGCAGCTTGGCTGGACTTGAGTTGGAGATCAAGTCTGTGTAGCAAGATATCATGTCTGATAATGTGAGCATGAACCTGAGTATAGTTCTTAAAAATCCTACTTCTGACACATGTATTACAACACATTTAACAACCTAATGTCTCAGGCAAATTTTATAAAATGTTACAAAGACTGTAGTACAGATTGTTATGGCAGTTGTTTATAGACACTCCTATACTAAGATTGATACTTCCTTGAAGGGAAGGAAAGGATGGCCTTCAGTCAGGCACTTTTCTTAGCAGTAACAGTTTAATTGTATGAATAGTAAAACAACAGTCACCTGAAAGCCTGTTTCCTTAATATTACCTATTGACCTAGGGTGTTATCTGGAATACTTGTTTCTTAAACTTTGAAAACACTTGATTGGACTGTGCATCTAAAAGGCTGGGATGGTAGAATTTGAGAGTAAATGTTCAAGTTGAGCATGAATTTATGGAAGCTAGCTTCCTAGATGAGTGAACAAATGATTGATTGAGACTGATTTATGTGAGACTTGAGCTGTTCGTTCTTGCCAGGCAAAGTACAACTGTTATGGAAAAAAATCACTTTTACAGACAATATCTGGGCTTTGCTTGGTTTAAATATGTGAGAAAGCACAAATAGCACTTGATTTTTCTGTACTTGAGCCGAGTGTTACTTGAGTAATGTAGTACTAATACTTGTGTATTGAGTTTTTAAAAATCTTGCCTTTGAAGTTTCTCTAGATTGACTAGTTTGTATGTCTGTGTATATACATATATGAGAAGGGTTCAAGAGAGCAAGTTGACAAAGTACATCTAGTAATGAATAGGTAATACCAGACTACTAGCGTGTAAGTCTGGTTGCAAAGAGTGTTTGCAACCTTGAACGCACCTACTCAGTGTAAATTTTGATAAGGATAGCATGTGGGACTACTTTCATTGTAGTATGTGAGTACAAACGCTTTACTAAAGCAGCTTTAAGTAGCTGCTCACAGTGTTGCTGTTACTATGAATACTTGAGATACTTATGAAATTTTATTACTTGCTGAAATATCTAAGAAACCTAAGTCCAAAAACATAAATGCAGTCGTATGTATCTCTGTCAAGAGTTGTTTTTGGATGCAATGTTATTGGATTACAGTTAAGAACTACAAGCTATAGGTCAGAAGTTGTGACCAGGTAGGCAAGGAAACTCTATTCAATTATTTCTGATGTTGAGAACTTGGAACTGAATGTAACTAGCTCTGAAGACTTGGGAGTGGTTACTGGCTTTCAGTGGACCTGCATAGAATTTCAAGGTCTAATGATGAATTGCATTGAGTAGTCTCTCGAGACAGGTAAGTAACTGAGTATTACCTTGACCTAACACACGGTTCTCTGATAATATTTACATGTTATGGACAGGCATATTTTTGATGTGGTAGTAAGCAGAAATCTCTGAGCCTTTCTATCCTGATACTTTTATTTGTTCTAAGTACTTAATTTAAGCTCTTGAAACCTACAAAATTCCATTTCTGCACTAGATTCAAAGCAAAATGAAAGAAAGAGAAGTCTTGCAAAGTGTTAAGTAGTCAAGGGAGGTGGCTGGAGCCTCAGAAAATGTTGGTATCAGTTTACAGAAGGTAAGAGGAGTGGAAGGCCTGCTTGAAAATAAATGAAAATCTCCAGAAGCTGAAAGCAGATAAGTGGGATGAATGGTGAAGTAGGGGAACAAGGAAAGTGGAGCAGGCAGCCTCCATTTTCTTTTCTTTCTTTTTTTTTTTTTTTTTGTGTGTGTGTGGAGGGAAAAGGAGAAGTATGAAAAACTGAAGGTGCCTGTGTTAAGTTAACCAGTTCTTGGTGGGGCTGCTAGAGTGCCTTTCCAGCAATGTTAATCACTTAATCCAGAGCTCTTCTGAGGTGACTGACTTTGTAGGTGGATTTTTTCCTTCTGTGAAATACCAGTTTTTGCCTTGTTAAAGAGCTGAGTTCAACTAATTTTGAATGGGTTTTCAGGCATAGTGCTAACCTATTTAAATCTTGACCAAAATATACTCCTTTTAAAGGAGATATTCAGTTATGGTTTTGTTAATCCTCACATCAAAGGATGGGATTTCTTTCCTGACTTGTCAGAATGCATCATTCAATGAAGACAATTACTGTTGTATCAAGGACTAACAGTAAAGACTAAGATCTTTGGCACCAGTTGTTGCACAAGCTTAACAGAGACAATACCCAAACCAGTTTCCTATTAACTTAATGTGTTGCTTTTGTTTGGGGAGATTTTTGCTTTGTTTAGGATCAACCTGTTCCCTCTCAGTGTTGTAGCCATGTACTGAATTTAGGCTTTTTCTTTGAGATACATTCTTTAATTCCTGTGTTCTCAGTGCTCACATCAGCCAATGAGACAATTCTGAGAACCCTGGAGAATCTGGAATGTTTCTTCTACTGAGCTGGCTTTAAGAGACAGAATGGAACTGTCACCATTACTACAAAGACAGGTGGGAAATATTTTTGGCTTAGAAAAAAAGATACTGTAATCTGTTTAAAAATCTCAATTTTTTAGACTATTTCAACAAATTTATTTCAAGCTGATGTATTTTGATTAGTTTTTGTGAGACTTCCTAGCTTACTAAAGTTGGCCAAAGCTGTCCATTGATTGGCTTGTTCTACAGCCCTGAAATGTCTGACTGCAGGGAGTAGCTGGGCACTCTCCTATGTTGGACAGCTTGGAAGTTTGATTATTTAATCAATAAAAGGATGCTGAAAGGTAAATGAGGAAAAATAGCTTCTACTTTCCTCTGCTGTGTGCCTCCAGGTGTGCAGCATGGCCTGATGCAGCTATGGAGTGGTCAGTAAGGGAATTATGTCTCTTCCTGCTGTTGGCTAGTTTTCCTCATTAAGAAACAAATACCACAGGAAACCTTCCTTGCCTGAGATCCCCCTGTATAGGAAAAGAGACACATCTTATCCTTTGCTTGCTTGCTTTACTAGCTCTTCCATAGCAGTAATACCCAATTCTTCCCAGTTTAGGAATGTGGGTTTTTTGTTTTTTGAGAACAGTTTCTTAGGAGGAACTTTTTTCATTTATTGACATTTGTTTTTGATTCTAATCTTGCTGAAAGTATCACAACAAAGAATGATGAATATTACTATTGCAATGATCTTTCCCAGTCTGCTGTAGCCATTGTTTGTATCCTGCCTCCCAACCAGTAAGGGGCAGATACTGAACTCACAGTCCCTGTTATAGCTGGTACCTGAATTCAGACTCTAGGGTACTGACTTAGAAGAAATCTAAGTAGAGAGGATTGAAGAGAGTCATAACTACTTTTTCATCTGTTGCTGAATGTCTGATGGACTGTCATAAATCTAAATTCACATCTTCTTTGAGCAGTTGAAACTGTTAAACTGAACTGTACACCCTTCAAGTTAACCATGCTCCATTCTGAAAGATCAGCAGACTTGGGATTCAAGGTGTAGGAAAAATGTTTTTTTCCTTTTCAGACAGGAAACTACACAAAAGCCTGATTAGGCAGTTTCTTAATGGAAAAAGAAGAGGAAAGCACTTAAAAATACTTGAGTGCCGTCAGTACTATTTCATTGTACAGGCATTTTACTGATTGTTTGACTGGATTTTTCTCATCCGATAAGCTCATTGAGTTTACCTGGCTTGATCAAATAGAATTACTTATTCTGAACCCGAGGAAAACTGTAGTAAGGCAGGAGCCAACACTGAAAAGGACACAGCAGTTTTAACATCAGGTAACATGACATTGTCAAGTATTGTACAAATACTTTATTTGGAATTTGTAGTTACGAGACTTCTTTGAAAAGATATTAAGAAATACTGTACCAGTTCTGATTCTTAATTTTCCCAATGCGCTGCTGCAGCTGAAGTTCCCAAATAGTTGTCAGAGTGCATTTAAAGGGAGATAGTTATGTGATAAATTAATACCAAGAGTCAAATAAGAACATAAGAACTTTTTAGGCATTGATAAAACACTCATGCCAAGTAGGAAAAGTCAAAATGCATATTAGCTGGAATGGATCAATAGAAGACAAATGTGTACTGAAAACTGTTATAAGGAGACAGCTGGGAAATATGAAAAACCACAAAGCTAAAACCTTCTTACTGTCATATCTGAAAATTATTCTTAC